TTTTTTTTTTTTTTTTTTTAGAGCTGGGGTTTCACTGTGTTGCCCACGCTAGTCTCCAACTCCTGAGCTCAAGCGATCTACCCACCTTGGCCTCCCAAAGAGCTGGAATTACAGGCATGAGTCGCTGCATCTAGCAAGGATGACTCTTAGGGCTCCTGGGTTCTCGGGCGTGGGGGCTCTGACTGCATGGGGCTCACAAATGTAGGTAATGCCTGTCCTTCATCCATCTCAAGGTCCAAGACAGCCTAAGGCCAGACCTAGATCCTATGTGAGGACAGGAGGACCCAGGGCTCCCCTGCACAGGCAGGCGCACTCTAAGACCCTAATGCCTAAATATGAGCAGATGAGAGAGAGGCCCACTATGTGCCCGTCAGCCTACCCGGCATCAAGCAGATGAGCTGCCCCCAGAGCCAAGAGGGCTCAAGGCTCTTGTTCAAGGTTACACAGCTACAAAGGGCAGAGCCTGGACTTAAAAACATTGACAGAGGCAGAGGGCTCGCTCCAAAAAGCAAGAGACTGGGGCGAGACCCCAGGAGACCAGGGTGACAACCTGACTGTCCTCAGCTGGAAGAACTGCCCAGGCACAGGCACCCCAGTGCGTCTCTCTCCTCCCTCCTTTCAAAGCTGCTCAGCATTCAGACTGGGCTGCCCAGAGAGAAATGACCACTTCTTATGGGATTTTTTTTTTAAGGACAGAAAGAATCCAGCCACGTACTTTTTTATTCTTTTAGAGACGGGGTCTCACTCTGTTGCCCAGACTGGAGTGCAGTAGTACAAGCATAGTTCAGTGCAGCCTTGACCTCCTGGGCTCAAACTATCCTCCGACTTCAGCCTCCTGAGTAGCTGGGACTACAGACACACCAGCATACCCAGATGATTTTTTTATTTTTTATTTTTTCATTTTTTGAGGTGGAGTTTCGCTCTGTTGCCCAGGCTGGAGTGCAATGGCACGATCTCAGCTCACTGCAACTTCCTCCTCCCGGGTTCAAGCGATTCTCCTGCCTCAGCCTCTCAGATAGCTGGGATTACAGGTATGTGCCACCATGCTCGGCTAATTTTGTATTTTTAGTTAGTAGAGATGCGGTTTTACCACGTTAGCCAGGCTGATCTTAAACTCCTGACCTCGGGTGATCCACCTGCCTCGGTCTCCCAAAGTGCTGGGATTACAGGTTTGAGCCACCACGCCCAGACTATTTTTATTTTATTTTTTGTAGAGACAAGGTCTTGCTAGGTTGCCCAGGCTGGCCTTAAACTCCTAAGCTCAAGTGATCCTCCTACTTTGGCCTTCCGAAGTGCTGGGATTACAGGCGTGAGCCACCATGCCCGGCCCCCAACCAGTCACCTACTTTCAAACATCAGCACCAACAGAGAAGGGCAGCTTCAGATAAATCCCCAAACATCTCATCCCAAACTTCTGGCACACCCTCCCTCCCTCTCTCACATTCACATTGTCCCCCTCCCCTCCACACACACATTCACGGCCTCTTGGACACAGACAGGTACTCTGGGATCTCAGATGGACTCCACTGACCGTGAGCCCCCAACAAAGGTGCCACCCCATGCGACAGGAGGATCCTTCCAGAGAAAGGCTCAAAGAGATCTCCTGCCTCCCAGGGCCCCCCAGCCCCAAAGCTCTGGGCAGGAGACTTTTCCATCAGCAAGCTGGCCACCTCCAATCCAAGGGCTATTGGCCCCTCCCTCCTTCTGTCCCAGAATAAGGCCGATTCTCGTGCAAAGCCCCAGGGTCAGAGTGTAGCGGGGCTTCCCTGGCTCCTCGGAGCTCCACACAGGACCGTGTGCTCATTTAGTCAGTCAACAAACACTCACTGAGCATCGCTCACTGAGCCAGTCCTGCTGGATGAAGAGAATTCCAAGACAAGCCTGACAGAGCCCCACCTCCCAACTCAAAATCCAAAGACTCCAGGGCCATCCCCAGAAGGCAGGAGCATCTGGAGCTCGGCCAGAGCAGACCCCATCCAAGGTGGCTCCACGGGGAGGTGAAGGCACAGAGGATGAGGAGACGTGGCCGTGCAGGAAGTGGGAAGGGCGCTGCAGGCAGGAGGTCCAGCATCACATACCCAGGACCGGCTGGGGCAGACATCAAGGTGGTGGGAAAGTGACACAGCTGGCCGGGCACAGTGGCTCACGCCTGTAATCCCAGCACTTCGGAAGGCCAAGGCGGGCAGATCCCTTGAGGTTAGGAGTTCGAGACCAGCCTGACCAACATGGTGAAACCCCATCTCTACCTAAAAAATACAAAATTAGCTGGACATGGTGGCAGGTGCCTGTGACCCCAGCTACTCATGAGGCTGAGGCAGGAGAATCACTTGCACCCGAGAGGCAGAGGTTGCAGTGAGCCAAGATCGTGCCACTGCATTCCAGCCTGGGCAACAGAGCAAAACTCTGTTTCAAAAAAATAAAAAAGCCGGATGCGGTGGCTCATGCCTGTAATCCCAGCACTTTGGGAGGCTGAGGCGGGCGGATTACTTGAGGTCAGGAGTTTGAGACTGGCCTGGCCAACATGGTAAACCCTGTCTCTACTAAAAAATACAAAAATTAGCCAAGCATGGTGGCGCGTGCCTGTAGTCCCAGCTACTTGGGAGGCTGAGGCAGAAGAACCGCTTGAACCCGGGAGGCGGAGGTTGCAGTGAGCTGAGATCATGCCACTGCACTCCAGCCTGGGTAACAGAGCAAGACTCCGTCTCAAAAAAAAAAAAAGTAACACAAGTAGGAGATTCAGTCAGAGAGGCCCAGACTCCCATCCTCAGAGTAGCGGGTCGGGGTGGACTCTGGGAGGGGAACACAGAGTGGCATCTACAGGGTCCTCTGCAGCCATGGTGTACACGAACACTGGGGAGGCAGGGCTGGTGTGACGAGGGTGGCCTGTGCCCTCCTGGGCTGTCTAGGAAAACAAGGTTGAGACAGTGGAAGTAGGAGGTGGTGGTGACAGGACCCAGCCATGCCACTTGCCATGGACCAAGGTCCAAGCCCAGGTAGGCCTGGAAGGCCAGGCTGGGGAAGGACGGAGCCCCAGAAGATAGGCACCCATGGTGTCTATGCAGCCTGCAGTAGTAGAGTCTGGGACACGAAGGGAAAGGAGTCCTGTGGGTGCCACAAACAAGGACCCAGACCCTGGGACAGGTGTGAGCTCCCAGGAAGTGAGCATGGGACGTGGGCTGGGCTCAGGGGGCTGGGGGCAGAGGCTGACTGTCAAGAAGTCCCACGAGCTAGAAGCAGCCGAACATCACTTCCCTGGCCCTTACTCCAGCCTGCAACCTCACACCACGCAGGCTAAACACGGCCTCAGGCGGGGGTCTTGGCTCAACAGTGGGCCACCTTCCGGACAGACCAAGTCAGGAGTTCCAACAAACACACCTCAGATGTGAACTCCCCCTAAAATCCCAAGAGGAATCCCAACAGCAAACTAGACAAGAAGGGACACAGGAAATTTGACCGTCAGCCAAACTCTGCAGAAACGCTCAAAACTTACGGAAATGCACTATCCTCCCCTACTGAAATTATCAACCTTCTTATTCTTTTAATTTTAGTTTTATTTTTCCCTGAGATAGGGTTTCATTCTGTCACCCAGGCCTGCCTGGCAGCAACAGTTTAAAAAAAAAAAACTCAAGTTGTGGTCGGGCACAGTGGTGGCCACCCCTGTAAGTAAGCCCAGCAATTTGGGAGGCCAGAGCAGGAACACTTGAGGCCAGGAGTTCGAGATCAGCCTGGGCAACACAAGAGGACCCCGTCTCTACAAAAAAATGAAAAAATTGGCTGGGCCCGGTGGCTCGCGCCTGTAATCCCAGCACTTTGGGAGGCCAAGGCAGGCAGATCACCTGAGGTCAGGAGTCTGAGACTAGCCTGGCCAATATGGCAAAACCCCATCTCTACTTAAAATACAAAAATTAGCCAGGCGTGGTGATGCACGCCTGTAATCCCAGCTACTGGGGAGACTGAGGCAGAACTGCTTGAACCCAGGAGGTGGAGATTGCAGTGAGCCAAGATGGCACCACAGTACTCCAGTGTGGGCAACAGTGCAAGACTCTGTCTCCAAAAAAAAAAAGAAAAAGAAAAAATTAGTCAGGTGTGGTGGCACATACCTGCGGTCCCAGATACTTGGGAGGCTGAGGCGGGAGGATCACTTGAACCCAGGAGGTCAAGGCTACACTAAGCTATGATTGCACCACTGCACTACAGTCTGTGTGACAGAGCAAGACCCCATCTCTAAGACAAAATAATAATTTATAAACTAAAAAATAAAACAGGCCGGGCGCAGTGGCTCATGCCTGTAATCCCAGCACTTTGAAAGGCCAAGATGGGTGGGTCACCTGAGGTCAGGAGTTTGAGACCAGCCTGACCAACTTGGAGAAACCATCTCTACTAAAAATACAAAATGAGCCGAGCATAGTGGCGCATGCCTGTAATCCCAGCTACTCGGGAGGCTGAGCCAGGAGAATCACTTGAACTTGGGAGGCGGAGGTTGCCATGAGCTGAGATCCTGCCATTGGATTCCAGCCTGGGCAACAAGAGCGAAACTCTGTTTCAAAAATAAATAAATAAATAAAACAATTCTGAAGAATCCAAAATATAACAGAGACTCATAAACCGCTTACAGGCACGTAAACTCTCTACCTAAAAAGTCACTCAAGTACGAAGTATCAAGACCGTGAGGATGTCGGAACCACAGTTTCTGTCTGTTCCTCAAACACTCATTCACTCATCCATCAAACACCTACTACGTGCCAGAGCCCAGGATGGCTAGGTACTGAGGCCACTGGAATCAGTAAGGCGCAGTTAGGTCCCTTGATGACTTAAAATTGAACGTTTGATATTTGTCTATTCCCAAGACCATCTATTCTCAGGAAATGACTAAAAATATCATGAAGGTGCAATGCACACAGACCGAAAGCAACGTTTGGAACAGAAAACATCGGAGAAGGAACAAATAAAATGCCTACCAAGGAAATGGAGAACGGAACCACGGTACATGCTCTCAGCAGAACATTTAAGGCCCTTAAAAAAATTGTACTTATAAAGACTTAGCAATAACGAAGGGAAAGGACCCACACGGTAACATACGGGAAAGGGCACAGAGGCCCAAGATCCTACATGCACCAGGGGCTCTGCAGGTAGAACCACATTGCACCATAAAATGAATTCAGAAGAAGACACAGAAAGACTCAGGGTATTGGGAAAATATAATGGCCCTTTTCCTTTGTTCTCTTTTTCTGTATTTTACACATTTTT